CACGAAGGCCCCCCCCCGCTGCCCCGCCCTGCTCGTCCGGTCTAAGCATCCCTAAAAATCGCAGGTCTTTGCACAAGTCAAAACGAATCCTGACACTAGCAACCCGCCGCGCCGCGCGCCCCGCCCCGGAAGTGACGTCCACGTGCCCGCCGATTCCCGCCGTGCCCTGCGCCTCGGTTCCGTGGCGGGAACTGAGGCGGTTGTGGGGGCTGAGGGTGCCCTGTCTCCTGGGCCCGTTATCTCAGACTGGGGGACGGATCTAGAACTTGACGACCCTTTGACCTTCCCTGTTCCGGAACCCCAGGAACGCGCGGGCGGCGCGCTCACTTCGGCGACAGGAGACCGAAAGGCCCAGGCTGTGCCAGGTATCAGCACGGGAAGGGGCCAGCGCAGAAACTGCGAGCCTGCCCTGGCCGCCCTGCCTGCCCCCTCGCGTCCTCCCCGCTGTCGTAGCTCCAGCTGCATGCCACCACGCAGGCCACCTCAAACCCCGGGCGCACCCCCTATGAAATGGTGGTTCCTTACCCCATCTTGCAGAGAGCGCTGCTTCAGGCCGTATTTACTGTTATCATCTCCTGGCAAGGATAGAGGAATTCAGTGATGTTAAAAAAAAAATCAATAAATAACCCCTAGGGACCAGCACAGTTGGAATGACTCTATGTCGCTGGACCCATGTAGTGAGGGGCGGGGGGAGGGACTCCCATGTAGTGAGTGGCGGTTCGAGTCCTGGGCCCGGTGGCTTAAACTAAACTCACGCTGGGCACGTGTACGTGCCCAAGATCCCCAGAAGAGAATGGAGGAGGGGGCATGGGGCGTGGCCTTCCCCGGGGGTGGGGATCATTTCTCGCTTTCTTTCTCTGTCTCTCTCTCTCTGTCTGTCTGTCTCTGGCAGCGCACACGCCCTATAGCAAAAAACCTCTCCAAAAATAAATAACTGGCCATTTACAAATATTTGATTTTATCAGTATCATTTTTTTCATCTTTATTGAGTGCTTACCCACATGCCAAGCACAGAATTACAAGTTTGCACTTTCTTTTATTTAACTAAATTGCTTTATGGAATAGGCTTTAGCTCCTTTTGCGGGAGGGAAAACTGAGTCTTAGGTGGTTATTCTGTCAACTAATATAGTGCACTGTTCCTGGCACTGGACCATAAAGCAGTGAAAAGAATAGAAGTGCTTAGGAATGCTAGGAATTTCAGGCAGGCTAGTGATGCTTTTTATATTTTTTGTTTTTGCCATAAGACTCGTGTGCTTGCCAGGAGAGAGAGAGAAAGTGAAAAATCATCCCCCAGGGGTAATGGCCGCGCTGTAATTCGTTCTCCACCATTCTCCTCTCAGGATTTTGGGCACATGAGCACGTGTGCCAGGCATGTTTTCAAGCCTCCTGGCTTGGGGTGGAATGGCACTGAGCCCTGTGGGAGTCTAGTACCTTGACAACCATGCCACCTGTTGACCCCGCTAATGATACTTTTCATCCCTGAAAAACACCCAGAAGAATGTTTCCCTGAATATTAGCAGTGGTTATCTTCCAGGTGGGATTTTATATAAACTTTTAAAATTCCTTATGCTTCTCTGCATTGCATTGACTTCTTCGAGTGAGTATACAATCAGAAAAACAGCTGTTTTGTTTTGTTTTGTTTTGTTTTGTGAATTTTTAGAGGTTTTTTGCTATAGGGCGTGTGAGCTCACCAGAAAGACAAAAAGCAAGAAATCACCCCCTAGGGGAGATGGCCACACCGCGATCCCTTCTCCTCCATTCTCCTTTTGGGATCTTGGGCATGCATGCACATGCACCCTGCGTGAGCTTAAGCCACCAGGTCCAGGACTCAAACCGCAGTTAACTACATGGGAGTCCAGCGACATAGCCATTGCGCTTACTGCTGGTCTGCTGTTTCCATTTTAACAACAGAAACTCCACCCTCCCTCCACCACCAAAAAAGACTCTGAAAGCAGACTTGACTCTATCTATTAAAAAATAAATAAATAAAGGCCCCTAAGTGAATGGAGCTTTAGGCCCAAAATAAGGGATAAAAGTTCTCATTTGTGGTCCCAGCACTCCTAATTATGGAGTCCATTTCAGGTCTAAGCTAGAGTTAGGCCCGTGATTGAAATGGAAGAGACTATAGAGGTTCATGTACAGTTTTTCATTAGTAACATCATAAAGCAGGACTTTTTGTTTGTGGGAAAATGTACCAAGTTTATTTTGGTGCAAAAATATTTTTTTGACATCTCTGCATAGTTTTTTCATAGTAGACATTTTTATGAACTTTTTGATGAGCCATTGTATTTACCTGTTTGGAACTCAATTTTTTTTGACATATAGTTTATCTTTGTTTTGTAAGTCCTTTACTATAAAATTTCTTAATGACATTAACTTTTCTTGTGTCTGTAGCCTTCAGTTCAACATACTCAGGGTGACCTACGTTATAGGATGATGTCCTTTATTAAGTCATTGTTAAATGCCTTTGCCCGTGGTTAATTGTGCTTTCAGGCCAAATTGCCCCATAGTAGTTTTCAAAAAAAGCTTTTCCTTTTCTATCTTGCATCTGATCAGGGTGAAGCAACCATGCAGGCTTTTCTGAAAGGCTCATCTATCAGTACTAAACCACCATCAACCAAGGATCGAGGAGTGGCTGGCACTGCAGGAGGCAGTGGAGAGAACAAGAAAGCCAAACCTGTCCCATGGGTGGAAAAATAGTAAGAACACTTGTATTTTTGTTGAAATGATGAATAAATCAGAGATTACTTTTTCACCGATTCTTATCATTTTTAACTTAACTTAATTTGCTTTGTTTGATTTTTTTTTTTTTTAATGTACTACCAGAGGGTGCATGTGTTCCTCAGAGAGAGAGAGAGAGAGAGAGAGAGAGAGAGAAGGAAAGAATCCTCCAATGAGGCATGGTCATATCACAATTCTTTTTCCTCCGTTTTTCAACCTATCAGGATTTGGGGCATGCAAGCACATGCACCTGGCAAATTTTTCAGGCCATAGGGCCTGGGATTTGAACTATGATTGGCCATATGGGCTCAGGCTCCCTATGCATTACTCTTTTTTTTTTTTTTTTTTCTTGTTTTTTTGGAGAGGTTTTTGCTACAGGGCATGTGCACTTGCCAGAAAGACAGAGAGAGACAGAAAGTGAGAAATCACTCCCTAGGGGAGATGGTCATGCCACAATCCCTTCTCCTCCATTCTCATCTTGGGATCTTAGGCATGCACTCACACGCCGGGTCTGAGTTTTAAGTCACCAGGTCCGGGACTCAAATCGTAGTCAACTACATGGGAGTCCAGTGACATAGCCATTACGCTGACTGCTGGTCCCTATGCGTTACTCTTAACTGCTGCCCTTTAGGGGCAGACATTGTTTTGCCTAAATGTTGTCCTTCAGGCCAGCTGGTATTGTGGTTTTTGGGATAACTGGATCCTGTGTGACTGACTGCACAATTCAAGTCCTGGACCTAGCAGCTTGAAAGACACACTAAGCACATGTACATGCATGCCAGGGATCCCAAACGAGGGAGAGGTAGAGAAGGGATGACCTTCCCCCTTACAGGGAGCTTCCTGCAGTCCCCCAAACCCCCTGGTCTTTCTCTGATGAAAGCAAACTCCCTCTGGCAAATTAAAATAAATACTTTTTTTTTTTTTTTTTTTTTCAGAGAGAGGTTTTTGCTATAGGCTGCATGCACTCCCCAAAGAGACAGAAAGCGAGAAGATACTCCCAGTGGGTTGACCACACCTCAACCTCCTCTCCTCCACTCTCCTTTTGGGATCCTGGGCACATGCCCATGTGCCCGGTGTGAATTTTAACCTGCTGAGTCCAGTACTCGAATCACAGTTAACTACATGCGAGTCCAGCAACATGACCAGTATACCGTTTGCTGGTCCCAATAATTTTTTTAAGGAATTCTTTATTTTATTTATTATTATTTGTTAATTTGACCAGAGAGCAAGAGAGTAAACTGCCAGGTCCGGGACTCAAACCACAATCAGCCATGTGGGAATCCAGCACTTCAACCACCATGCCATCTGCTGGTCCCAGTAATTTAAAAAAACAAAACAAAACAAAACAAAAACAGATTTGCTATGGGGCATGTACGCTCACTGGAGAGAGAGAGAGAAAGAAAATGAGAAATCATCCCCACTCCCCCACCCCTGTGGTGGCCGTGTAACCCCGTCTCTTCCATTCTTTTGTTTGCTCGTGGGCATGCATACACATGTGCCCAGAATGAGGTTTTTTTTTTTTTAGAAGTTTTTGCTATAGGGCGTGTGCGCTCGCCAGACAGACAGAGAGAGACAGAAAGCGAGAAATCACCCCCCAGGGGGGATGGCCACACTGCAATCCCTTTTCCTCCGTTCTCTTGGGATCCTGGGTGCACACATACTTGCACCCGGCATGAGTTTTAAGCCACCGGGTCCGGGACACGAACTGCGGTCGACTACATGGGAATCCAGCAACCTAGCCATTACGCTAACTGCTGGTCCCAGTATTTTTTTTTTTTTTTTAAGAATTATTTTATTTGAATGAATGAATGAATTAATGAATTTAAATTTGAACAGAGGGATAGAGTGAGAGAGTGAGAACAGGCAGACAGGTCCAGGACTAGAACTGAGGTCAACCATGTGGGAGTCCAGTGTCCCTAACCACCACACCACCTGCCAGCCCTTGCTTTTTTCTTTTTTAAGGAGAGATTTTTGGTATAAGGCATGTGCACTTGTTGGAGAGACAGAGAGATAGAAAGTGAGAAATGACCTCCTCCGGGGGAGGATGGCCACGCCACTGTTGCTTCTCCATTCTCTTTTTGGGATCTTGGGCATGTGCTCACATGCACCCAGTATGAGTTTTAAGCTGGGACCCAAACCATGGACAACTATGTGGGAGTCCGGCAACGTAACCATTATGCCATCTGTTGGTACCAAAATAAATAAGTTTTTAAAAATTGTCCTTCAAAATCACCCAGTTATGATATAAATCACAGGAACTTGGAACCGAAATTTACCTTAGAATGATCTAGTATATTATTTTATAGAACTGAACCGTTCTCCACAAATAAAGTCTTATTTTAGGGAGTGGAATACAGAAATAAAAAAAAGTTTCCGTAAACTGGCAGTAAACTCTTGGTAGAAGTTCTACTTCAATCCAAATAATGTTCCTCTTTTTATTACTAATAAATGGAAATTGTTGAGTTTTTGCTTGATCATATGTTTTTGGCAAAAGCAACACTTGAAGTAGCACTTAAATTGTCATTCAACTAAGTGATATGACAAGTAATTATAATGATAATTATTGCCAAGGATTTGTAGATTAAGGGCAAATAAAGCCTGCATGTGTTTTGTTTGGCAACAGTCCTTGTATAAATCTATTTTTTTTTCATTACAAACTTACATGGGGGTAGGGAGACTGGCCCTAAAACTTAGCAGTTAAAGGAGTGAATCTCAAATGGCCATCCTGGTTTGAATCCTGGCCCTGGTGGCTTGAAAAACACACTGTTTGGAAATGGAGAAATGGAGGAGCATTGCAGCATGATCTTGCCCTGTTGGATTGTTTTCTCTTTCTTCCCTCTCTGGGGAGCACACATGTCCTCTGGCAATTAAGAAAAAATAGAGGGGCCAGCAGATGGCATGATGGTTAAAGCAGCTGGATCACACATGACTTTCTGGGCAGTTCGAGTTCCGAGTTCTGGACCTGGCAGCTTGAAAAACACGATGGGTATATGCTCATGTGTGCCTGAAATCCCCAAAGGAGAGATGGAGGAGAGGGAATTGCAGTATGGTCAAGCCCCTTTGTCAGGTGGGTTTGGTTCCTGGGGGACCTGAACATGCCAACTCTACCAATGATCCAAGCTGGCTAGAAGGAGTGGGAGAAGAGAGCAGCGTGGCCAGGCTCAGTGAGGAGTGCCTCTGTTTTTCTTTCTCTCTCATATGAAATAAATAAACTTTAGAAAATTAATGATGTGAGATGCAAATTTCATATAATACTTTATATTGGTTAACCTTGTTATTTTGTTAGCCCTCGGCAAAGTGAGTAGGTCTCCATTTCTTGTGTATAGTTAGATGATGGGGAAAAATGTCAGTTAACGACATATTAAGTATGTACAAGGTGACTTCCTGAAGTTTATGGAAAACTGGAAGTATCAGTTTATTTATTTATTTTTTTTGGAGAGATTTTCACTATAGGGTGTGTGCGCTCGCCAGACAGAGACATTAGAGACAGAAAGCGAGAAATCACCCCCCAGGGGGGATGGTCACGCCGCAATCCCTTCTCCTCCATTCTCCTCTCGGGATCTTGGGCACGCACGCACACGCGCCCGGCGTGAGTTTTAAGCCACCGGGTCCGGGACGCAAACCGCGGTCGACTACGTGGGAGTCCAGCGACATAGCCATTACGCTAACTGCTGGTTCCCAAAGTATCAGTTTATTTTTGTATAAGAAAAAATATGAAATCCATGCATAGTCTTTTCATTTTATTATTACTATTTTTAAATGACCAGAGAGTATGTGCACCAAAAAGAGAGAAAGTGTCCCCAGTGTAGTCATGCCACGGTCCCCTCTTCCATTTCCTATCCGTTGGGATCTTAGGCACTCAGATACATGTGCCCATCATGTTTGCCAAGCTGCCAGAACTAGGATTTGAACTATGTTTGGCCATATGGGATCTGGCTTCCCCAAAAACAAGGCCAATGGGGCTGGCCCCCTTCATAATCTTTTCATAATATGCTTTTTTTCCCATGAACTTTTTGAAGACTCAATAATTTTCCCTTTGCAGCTACGTTCACCTTCTTGTCAAAATATAATAATACTTTGTAGGCAAATATTCACTTTAATTTTTAATCAGTTGGCATTTGTGATACATATATTGGGCCTTCGGAAAAGTCATGGCTTTTTCGCATAGAAAAAACATTGAAAAATACTTCATGACTTTTCTGACAACCCAATGAAATAAAATACTTTGTTTAATTTTTGTAAGCATGTAAAAAATTTAGGTGGGAAGGGAAAAATTATTTCACTCTGTAGTATGTTTTTGTTTAAGGTAAATATAAATGGAGTTTCCACTTGTTTCCGGTTATAAAAGTTTCTCAGTTCATTACTGATATGAGAATGTCACTGATATTTTGTCAGAAGGAACACTTGAGACTTTTCTGTGACTATTGTAATATACTAACCGCT